ACTAGTGGCGCACCTGTTTTCTGGTGCGCCATTAGTGTCTTCCACACTAATAGCGCATCACCAACTGATGCGTTATTAGTATATAATAGTGACGCACTACTCCCCTGATGTGTTATTAGTGTCAATTCTATCTATAGCCCTTTTTCTAGTAGTGGTTAAAGTACTGTAGTGGTGCTTGGTCGTTGTTCCTCTTCAGTTCGTGAATCTCTCGAGTGTACAGATCGGCATGGTCTGCTATGCTAGCTAGATTATGGAGCACAGGCTGTCTGTCTTGACGAGTGAAGGCAAGATACACGTTAATGGTACGTAAGTGAGGTCTAATTTATGCCAGTTCCGTCCCTTCGTGGTGCAGTGGATGGACGGGCCGGACAAAATTTTGGTCTTCAAGGACTTGCGTGACCACGTACGTCGTTTCTGCGTGCCGTTTGCGTCGCCGCGAAAAGATGAGAAAGGGAAGCCCACGGTAGCATATGTTTGTTTCATTCTTTGTCATGGACTGCCTCTCCTCTGTCGTATCCAATGTTCTCCGTCAGGCAATCGAGTCCGTAGTGTTCAGTCCAGCCTTGAAAACTCTAGTTGATCTTTCTTAGCACCTGCAGTCTCCTCTACGCTTGTACCAGCGCAGGACAAGCTCATGCACACTGCCTAAAATGGAACGCCTCGATCCGTCGTCCTCGGATCGATCGCTCGTGCTTGAAACAGATTTGAACGTTTCAGGTCTTGAAGAGAAGGGTCACTGTCCTAATTAACTAGTAGCAAAATATTTAGCTTTGTCGGTGTGATTGTGCATATACTTTAACATGACACGACGCAGCATTGACGTGGATCCAGCTTGTTGTGGTAGCCATAGTATTCGTTTTGGACACACTCTCAGGACCGGTCAAACCTCCGCTTGCCATCAACTATCTATATACATGACGACGTGACTCCGAACCAACATATTTATATGGTAAGATGTACTAGCTTTTTTCAAAGGAGACAGAGAGTACAACGGCGGGTAGAATGCCAGGCTGAACTTTTTTATGAATTTTTGACAAAGCAGCAAAGTTATTCACAAAGGACTCGGCGAGATTAAGATAAACAAAAAGGAAAATTACATCCCCGGATCTTAGCCGGGATATATAGCATGACACCCCAAACAAATAGGATTTGCCGCCTGTTGGCCCGGTTCATATGGATGGGCATACGCAGGGCTCTCTCCGGCGACGTGAAAGTCGGCGGTGGTGTGTTCCACCACTGGTGTTAGTCCTGTGGTGACCACTTCGACCTGCGGACGGCCTCATTGTGGAGTGCGGTGGCCCCGAAAGGTATTCGTGAGGCCATATCCAGTGATTGCCTTCTGCATCAAGATGCAATTTACGAAGGATGACTTGACGCAGAGTGTATGGTTGTGCAACAGCGGCGGTCGGTCTTCTGGCCCAGCATATGCAGTTGCTGGGATCGCGGAAAAGTGATGGCGACAACACATGATTAACTTCGACGAGCTCCGTGGTAAAAACCTAGGTCTGACCCGAGTTAGTTATACAGGCAATGACGATGTTTTTGTGTCGTTACCTTGTCGAATGCATTGCTCGGATATGCTCGGGCAAGTTCTTCAGGCTGAAAACCTAGAATCTGACCTTTGGTGGTTGATCCAGTGACGGCGGCGCTTGAGCGTCGTTGCCTTCTTGAAGGCTTTGTTGTTGAAAAACCTCGTTGTCCTTGTTGTGTCATGAGATGATTGGTACAAACATGATCATAGTTGTAGTTTGTCGATCGCGGACTTGGTCGGTTCGTTTTCTTTTTCTTTTTTCCTTGGCTTAGCCATAGTTCTGGTCTTATATATGACTTCGCTTTTTGTCCGTGCTTTTGTGTGTCTGTATTAGTATTGACTTTGTGCATCCTAACTATGTAGAAATCAGTGTGTGCTTACTGTGTATGTATTCACTTGATGCTTAATTTTGAGTCAATATAACTCACCCTTTGTCGAAAAGGATATCTTTACTTACTCACAATGTGGTGTCAAGGAGATACAAACCATTATTGTGTTGAGTAAATAGGCAAAAAAATATTAATTTAATCCAAGAATAAGTCACTAGCATGATATTGACAAAAACAATCACATACTGATATTCAATCATGCAAGCACATACTACGCTAGTTGCAGACAGATCTACGTATAACGCTAGCATAGGTAAAACAAAAAACAATAGGAGCGGGATAAGCGAGTTATACCCTCCAGTAGGCCAGGCAGAAGTCGCGGCAGCGGTGGCGGCAGCAGCATCCTCGGCGGCCTTCTTATCAACCTCGAGCTTCTCAGTGGCGAGACGATCGGCGTCGGACTGGGACATGGTGATGATGAAGATGACGCGGACGTAGAGGAAGTAGACGAACAAAGGCGAGCAGTCGCATAGTCGCTTCTCAAAAACCTAATCGCCCCTCTCCCGTACAGGATCCGGAGAGGCAAGGTTTCAGAGATCTGTTCTCCCGTCGACCGTGTACGCGACGGACGGGGTGGAGTCACCGGCGGCGGCAGCAGCAAAGGAACGACGGCGAGCAAAAATAAGCGCGTATGTGTGACCTCGACTTGCCTCATTTCCGCGTCGAGGCGGGCGGCAGAGGAGGAGTGCGCGAGGGCCTTTTCTATTCTGAAGCTCTAATAGAATGTGGAAGAGACCCTTATAATGAGGTCCAACCCCTCTCCAACTTTCGGGATGAAACTAAACTTCTCACAACATCTAGAGCCAACTAAACCCACTGGGCCTTTAGAGATTTTCAAAAATTGTTAGATGGGCCTTAGGCCCACCCTAATATTACGACATATTGCATATGTTTGAGCAAAGCAAAATGTGCTGAGCGGCCTGGTATTCAAATTCCACAAGACGTAAAGTGCAAGTGCGTGCCCTAACGATCCATCGATGGAGCCGCCGGTCAATCGGTTTGAGTGTTGGGTCACTCTCCTCATCACGTACCTAGCTAGCTAGCTAGTGAGGTAGTAGCCATTTTAGGTTCCGTGTCACTGTCCGTGCAAGCACGCAACACTGGAATCTAGAACGATCCACGGATCGCACATGTGGCGGTCACGATTGGCATGTAGCTCGAGCTCGACGACGGAGATCCACGGGGGTAAGGAGGGACAGGGGGGAGGCCACCGTGCCCGGCGGTCGTGGGACACGACGCAATCACGTCGCTCTCCGCCGCGGCCAGGCCTAAACTAATCCGGCGTGGAGGGTGGTGTAGCTCCACGCGCAGGCAGATTTTCTAAAGTCCATAAATAAAACATTTTTGCGCGAGTATTTATAAACAATAAGGACGGGTGATGTAGCCATGGAAGCAAGGTGACAGGGACTTGTTCAGTTTGGACAGAGGCTCTGGCGGAAGACGACGACTCCATGGCGCATTTTATTTTGAGTTGGACGAGTTGAGAGATTTCATTTCCATGATGAAATCGACATAAAAACAGCATCCATGGGTTTTTGTGTGTCTTTGATAGAGCATTTGGTTCAGTTGGGCGGAGGCTCTGGCGGAAGACGACGACTCCATGGCGCATTCGATGCGATTTTTCTTCTTTTCGAGTCGAGAGATTTCATTTTCATAATGGAATCGACATGAAAACAGCATCCATGGGTCCTTGTGTGTCTTTGATAGTACGTACGTGGCAAACAAGCGAAGTGTATATAAAATAAAAAATAAAAATAGAGTATTGAATTCAATTAGCCGATGTGAAATTGATGTTTGGCTGTATTAGGGGGGCCAAGGGCTTGACCGGCCTTTTTTGGACGATGCGTGAATCTTCTCTCCTTTGGTGACAGGCCGATGCAACAACAAGATGCGGTCAATTTCAAAAGAAAAAGGGAAAAACAGATAAAAGTCGCCGTGTTTTGGCGTGAAACACTGGGGAATGCGGCGTACGCCACCGCCGTTGGAGCTCGTCTCCCCATTTCACGGTTGGTCACGTATCGCATCCACTCCACGGCCGGGCGGCGCAAAGTCCAGTCTAGCCTAGGGTGAACGAACATTGCTGCGATAGTGGACGGAGCAAGGACGGTGGGCTTCACTAAAGGAGAGGAGGTCTGAACTTCAAAAAAAAAAAGGAGAGGAGGTCTGGCGGCCAACTGAATTCAATGCTCTATTTTTATCACACACGTCTTTCTCCCTTGTCTTATCTCTTCCCCAATCTCTCTCCTGTACGCAAGTGCCTCAGCGGCAATCAATGGCGTCCACCTTGCCGGAGAGGAGGATGGTGGCAAGATGACCTGATTGGAGGTCTGGCGCTCGCTGGCGGCGGCGCCATGGCGGGGGTGGGCGGCACTGTTACTCCCTCACCACCATCCGGCGGGCTCGTGGTGAACGACCATGGCGTTTTGTTTTGCAACATTTAATCTGTTGCAAGAAAGATTTTTGCAACATCAGACATGTGACAAAGGAAATAATTCTACAACATCTGCAAAGTTTTTCCGCAACAATACCTTTGTTGTAAAAGAAAGCGAAGGGGAGAAAAAAATTTGCAATACAACTTTTGCTGCAAAAAAATCCACCACACAATCTCTAATAAAATGTTGTGTTTTTTTTTTTGCCAGTTGATTTTGCTGACGGCTCGTGAGGCAGCGGATTTTGGAAAAGATCCACCAGCCGCCCAGGGATTGCTGTGATAGTGGACGGGGCAAGGATGGTGGGCTTCAATCCCAAGAAAAGGCCCAGGAACATATTGGTTAGAAGGAAAAGCTGCCCAAGATGAAACCACACCAAAAATAAATCCCAGGCAGAGTAGTGACCTTGGTAACATCCTTTCCATCAGTAACAATATTGGTTGCAAAATAAACAAATGGGATAACAATCTTTAGCCCTACAACAATCAAATCGGAAGTAGCACATAATAATAATGATACACAATCTAGTCGCCTAAACCGCCACCCACACCTCGTAAGGCCTGCACCCCCCTTCAAAAACGGATCCGATTACACATAAGAGAACCAGGTACGGTAGCTTCTTTGTTAAATAAGAGTCTTCTCCGCAACTATCTAAGTTGTCTTGGACTTGGGGGCCTTCTTCTTGGCCTGCCTCTTGGGGACCGAGTTCTTCATGCCCAGGAAGAAGAGAAGGGCTCCAAACAGCGCCAGGTTCTGCAGTTAAAAGGGAATCACAGGAAGTTAGCTACCAATGGGACATTCCTTGTTCAACAGACATGCAAAAAACAGGTGGATATTTGCTTCATACCTGTGTGAACTTCATGAAGATCTGCACAAATTCAGCCTTCTCCATGTCGTAGTTGTAGAAGTCATAGACGACGGGCGTGATGAAAGCAAGGTAGAGAGCCTGCCGGAACAAATACCTTTCATCATTAGATAAGTGCACAAGGAGGAAGCAGAGACATATCAACACAGCACAAATCAACATAGTGGAAACAGGGTCGGTCAAAGGTGTCTAAAACTTCAATTGGTCACACTTGTCATATCACGGTGTCCACAGAAACAAATAAGTTAAAAACTAATGTGTTCTCATTAGGACATCATGCAGCAAAGTTGTGTTCTCATTTTGGGACATCATGCAGCAAAACGTGCACAAAAGCAGCACCAGATAGAACCAAGACCACATCAATCAGCAGTTATCAACCATAATATTCACAAGGCACAATTAAATGGGCTAACAAGCAGAATGCAGGTTTTGATAAAATCGGCATCACATTTATATCAGAAGCGAGGATGGTACCAGATGGGCAAAACACAACAGTGACATTAGCCACTTGCAAAAAATTAGAGGAAACCAGTGCAGACGACAAAAAATATTTTATAAAATGTACACATCTAGTAATATAAACACATGATATGGGAGTATAACAGTTCCTGAAAGCAAAATACCATGAAATTTAGAAGAAAAAATTCTTTGTGACCAGATTTGATAGATCTAGAAGAACCTAGAGAAACGCAGTTGCCCTAGCTAGGTGAGCAGTACAGTCTCAATCAATATGCTCATGCTTAAATTCTAAAGAACAGCCAAATGACAAAGCCTTCTGCAGGATAATATTCAGTAGCTTTTGGTTTGGAAATATTTATTAGATAAATGGCAATATTTGAATAAAATGAAATAGGGCGTTTGTGCATGCACGGCCCTATATAACTATTGAATCTAACACAAGAGAAATTCCCTCATTACTCTAGATATGAAAATCAATTTTAGCAATGTGCACTGATATAAATGTGAATGCGTAGATCACAACAAGAAATATTATACAGCATAACAACAGATCAGTACATACCAGGAGATAAGCACCAAATGAACTGCTGACGATAAACAGGAGACCACCCAGACCCTTCAGACCAATGGTAGCAGCAACCACATGCTTCAACTGGATAAATTAAACACACAAATCAAACTAATTAATGACTGGTTAAAATCCAGACCACCTAAAGTATACCATGAATAAAGTAAATTTCACCTCTACATGAGGCACCACAACTCCGAGGTGTACAGAAATATTTTTGGTGAAACTGTTAAACTTAGGCGCAAGATTCTTTGCAGCTGGCCCGCCATCAGTTCCAAATTCAGTGAACCTGCAATAAAAATAACTTAAAAATCAGTATGCATTTACAAATAACTTAATACATCAGCATATAACAGGTAGAATAGTACTACAATCTAATTCATGCAGTCAGTAACAGCTTCAGAATACATAATTGATCAGATCGCATCCAAGCTAGTGAAGAGAACTTCCATATAATCCCACAAGTTTTGTACCTGTTCCCATTAAGCCAATCGGCAGCAGTAAACTAGGTGCAAACAAAAGGTGGCCTACTGGCACTAATCCCCTGATCAATGTCAATATGTCATGATGTGAAAGTGGGCTGCAGCTCACTCTATGACAAAAACAATCCAGTATATATCCGTGTTTAATGGATAGACTCCAGATAATTCACGATGCAATGGTACAAGTCGTCAGGCAACTACGGACATGAAAGCAGCAATGCAGATGCCACCAATCAAACAACTGTAGCACGCATCGACCATGAGGATAATGACCAGAGTCTTGCTAGTAATTAGGCATTTAGGCATGAGACTGCACACAAACAAAACCAAATTTGACATCGGGATATTCTGATGTATTGTCTAAGATGACTGGTCCACAATATTTACCACGCTACTAGATAAATCACGCTAACAAAGTCCGATGCCCACCAGATGAGACAGCGTGCACGAAAAGAAAAGCATCTACGGAAATTTCAAACATAAATACATAGATCAGTGGCGCAATTGAGCGACTCTAGGTTAGATCAGAGCACGCGGGAACACGATTTTGGGCGCTGTTATTCTCATGGACCACAACGAAGCGTGACGCCAGATCCAGGCGCTTCACGACCCGAGACCCTGCAAAGCGCGCTATCCATCACGAGATCCAAAGGCCAGGGCGTGCCCTGCCCGCACGTCCCCCGAGATTCCGCCAGCGCGGCGACAGATCTGACGAAACCAGGCTAGAATCGACCGCGGGGAGCAATAGGAACGGCAGTGGAGGTAAGCGGAGAGGGAGGAGGGGAGGGGAGGCGGGAGGAGGGCGCGTACTCCTGGTAGGCGGAGAGGAGGAAGACGGAGGCGAAGAGGACCCTCCCGGCGAAGGACACGAACCCCATGTCAACCTGCGGCGGCGGCGGCGGGGCGAGGCGAGCGACCGGCGGGATACGGTGGGGGAGGCGGGGTAGGAGCCGCGGCGCGACCTTGGGAGCTCTCGGAATCTGTGATGGAGACGGCCCGTGTCGGAGCCCCCACTCCGTACTTATAACGCGACGCGCCTCCGGTTTGGATCTCCCCGGATTTACCCCAGAGTCCTGCCGTATTACGCACGGGACCCTGGTCATGATTGCTTTGATTTGAGTTGGGAAAGTAGAGATTTGTTTATGGAAAGAAATCAAATCAAATTGGTTATGTTATTAAGAATTCAAAATTAATCTGCTTGAGACCTTATTTGATAATATTGCTTTCTTTCCCAGAGTGGTGTGTATTCAAAATGCAAAGTGGACTACTCCCTCCGTCCGGGTTTATTAGGCCTCTTAGCATCATAAGCATGTCCCTTTTTATAAGGCCTCGCTTTGGAAAGATGCATGCATGCAACCATTTCATTGGTTGCATTGAAAGTCATTGTTGTTGGTGCCATGATAGACAATTAATACAGTTCATGCATGCTTTTTCATTGGCTGCATGCATGTGAGGGAGTGCATTGGGAGTGGAATGAAAGAATTAATGTGAGCAAATTACTATGTGTCTTGGTCTAAAAAAAGTTGTCTTTAGGCCTAATAAACCCGGACGGAGGGAGTATATATTAGGCTAATGTGGCAACTTACACGCCACTAATGGGATGACTCATGATTGAACTAGTAACAAAAAATCATTACAAAATTGCAGTAGGCATGAACATACCGATGATTGGCAATCACTGCATTGGCATTACTTCGGTAAATTTAATAAAAACTAAGATCTTGGGATGTTGTCAATTCCCCTTACCCCTCTCTTTCCCTACTGGGGCTCATGTAAGATAAGTGGGACTTTTTGCGGGAAAGATAAGTATGCTTACGAAGGAAAACATATCAAAACGTGTTGTACATGGACTTGATACTAAATGGTTTTCCCTTAGCCATGTGTGATTATCTTGCCTTTTCTCGCAGAAAGTTGATGCACCTTGGCGGACAATCAAAGAGCTTGTATTGATAATGCAAAGTGGGGTATGAGGATAACATGTTGGTCATCACATATTTCTTTGAATAGAATGTGTTTCAGTTAATCTCCCCACACAGAATGGAATAGGTGATGATGGAACTTACAAGTATTCAATGCAAGCCTACAACAAGCATGAACTTGATCATGATTTTGTGACCACGTCATTGACAAGCCTTTTAATGTTTTTAGTTAACCTTTGGCCTTGAAATGTGATCTTCAAATGTTTCTATTTCCCTTTACCCCTTGGGCCATTTAATTTAATTCCTATATCTTTTCTTTCGCATCTTTATGGCTTGATGCAACCATTGCCACGTGGACCACCACCTTCTCTTCTATTTGTAGCACTCGTCGCGATTTTGCCTTGTCGTGGGCCCAACCGAAGCAATTGAAACTCGTTAAAAACTATGCTAATAAAAGGCACTAAGGGAGGAAATCCGCCATTGAGGGTCACTTCTACCGACACGTGGGGTTCCCAGCAAGTTGGAACATGGTATAGCATCCCCTAAGTTCATCATCCACGCGAATTATGAGGTACCGACATTCGCAAGTATCTTGTCAAGCAATTTTACATGGCGATGTCCATGAATGTTATGCGGAAGAAGATTGCATTGGGAGAGGAAAACAAAGATATCAATGTTGTGATGGCCTGGCTTATTAGGGATGATAGACTACTCATATCAATAAGGAATTTCTTCTTTTCCGGGAGCCCATTTGGACAGAACTCCAAAGTTAAGCGTGCTCAGCTTGGAGTAGTGTCAGGATGGGTGACCGATCGGGAAGTTGCTCCCGGGTGCGCATGAGTGAGGACAAAGTGCGCAGAAAAGACTAGTATTGATCTGTGAGGCCAGTCTAGATCCCGCCAGGAGTAACGACCACCGGCGGGTGTGTCCGGGGCGTTACAAATGTGTTTTTATGTAAAACTGGAAGTGTTGGATTTGAGCTTTGGTTGCTCTGATGCCAAGCTTCTCGCATTGAATCCAACCAAAAGGTATTGATTTCTTCTTGCTAGTGACAATCAGAGTCCTCCTCACAATCATTTACCATGTGGGCTAAGCAGCTCGAGTGGATTAGACATGTTGTATTAAATGAACATTGATAAAAAAGTAGTGGGATATGGAACCACAAATAGTAGCAAATTAGGCACTTCTAGAAACGTGTGCGCCAAAGGGAAAGCACATTTGCTGCAACTATGGAGGTTGTGAAACACCATGATAATATGGCGGAGTCCAATATCCGCCGGATATGGAACAATGGTGAAGATTCTTGGGGTCATGCGCTTGTTGATTGTAACATGGCCGAAAGTGTGTGGTGACTTGTGTACGAGGAGCTTGTGGAACATCACATTGCCCGCAATTTTCCTGAGGCAAGGCTATGGTTGCTGGAGCTCATGGAAACATTGAACGAGAAAGAATTTATCAAGGTATTGGTGACCCTATGGGCTATATGAGGGCTCGCCTGAGGGAGATCCTTGAAAATAAAATTTCGGACACCTTTGACCGCATTCTACTTCATTGAAAACTACCTGGGGGCTTGCACTGGTTCCGCGCAGGTTGGCGTCGAGTTCATCAGCAAATACTAATGCCTCATGCCCAATACATGCGAGAAGGGACTAAAAACCACGGTTTCATGGTTGTATGAAGATCACTATTGATGTTGTTGTTGCTACAAATCAAGATAAGGGTTCTCTGGCGGTTCTATGTCGGGATGAACAGGGTTGTTATCTCGGAGCCTCCGCGGTGATGATCCAGGACCTTTCAGCTAGAGAAGTTTTCTCTGGTTTTCTGACCTGTACTTGAGCAGAATTCGCATAACAACGGATTGTTTGGCTATTGTTAATCGTATTAAAGTTGAGTATAGAGGTACGAGCAATGCTATTATTCAAGAGAAAAGCTGAAGATGATTTTTTTGTCGAAGTTCATGTCCAGCATGAGAAGAGAGAGCACAATTGGGAAGCCCACGATCTTGCCAAGTCTTTTGTTACCTTAGAGTTGGGGCACCATGTGTGGCTTATAAACACCTTTGATTTTATTTGCATGCCACATTTTGTCATGGTTGAATAAAAGTCAAGAAAACCTAAAAAACCGTGCAACTTGCAAAAAAGGGAGAAGAAAAAATAAGGGGGCTCCCTCTGATTTGTGTAAGTTTGACCAGACCTATAGAAAAACATATAAACAATTAGAACACCAAAATAGTCTCATGAGATTATTCGTAAAAATATATTCTCATACTATGTGTACTCCCTTCGTTTTGTTTTAGTTTGCATATAAAATTAGGTTAAAGTCAAACTTCATAAACTTTATAGGAAAGAATATCAACATTCACAGTACGAAATCAATACTATTAGATGCATCATGAAATAAATTTTCATAGCATGTAACTTTAGTATTGTAGATGTTGATATCTTTTTATATGAATTTGGTCAAACTTTGCATAGTTGAATTTTGACCAAATTTTAGATGCAGGCTAAAAATAAACGGAGAGTGTATTCGTATTGCCAATCTTAACATATTTTTACTATAGAGTTAGTCAAACTCAAACAAGGTTGGCTTTGAAAAAACCGAGAACGTGAAAATGGGGGTCGTGTGGCCCCTTTGATCGAAAACTAAATCTAGAACGTTCATTATGTTGGAATGCAGGGAGTCGTAAGTTTTAGCCACGGGAAAAGATACTCGATCACACAAAGGGCCTATTTGGAACTGCTCCGCTGCATCAAAATCATTTTCACTCCATGAAATCCACTTTGGTGCAGTTTCATATTAGAGTTGCAGCTCTATCAAAGAGAATGTTTGGCTTCCATCTAGCTCCAACTTTAAGAATGAAATTTTTAATGAAAATTATCTATTTGATTGGATGAGGGGTGAGAAACGAAGGGGTATCCATTTATTAGTGCCAGTGGTGGAAAATTCCCCCCAAACTTCAAATTCTAGTATTTTTTTGAAGCACTCCCTAAAGATATTCACAAAAAAAGTAAAGAGTTGTACTCTAGATTCTACTTTTTTTGTGGAGCGGCATATTTTAAAGCTACATCATTTGACTTGCGTTTTTTGAAGCGGAGCTGAATCTTAAGAAACGGGCCAGTCCGAAGAGAAAATTGGGCTTTCTTTATACTCGTGGTATTTGGCGGGAAGCTCCAAACGTTTAGGAGAGAAAGAAGTCAGCCGCAATTGCGAAGAATACGAGGGCCAGTCGCGCATTTTACTTGCCAGGCTATCAGGGGGCGCCGGAAATACCACCGGATCTCGGTGAAATTTCGGCCGGATGCCACCCCATTACTCTTCTATCTAATCCCTCTCCCCGCCGGCCCGATCGATCCCCTTCCGGCCCCGCGGCGCGTCGGCCGCTGCGAAATTTTTGAATCCGGAAGCGCGTCCGCGTGTACTAGCGCTGTGCGTGCCCCCGTCGTGGGGCGGGGATCGGATATGGGATGGACCACCACGATCGAACCAACCGGTGCGGGTCCGCTGACGCGGCGGGGGCCATGCACAGAGGCCGGCGTAAATGCTTTCCCGCTTTTATTTACCACCGCTGTTCCTTTCCAGCTCCTATCCATCCATCCAGCCCGTTCAACTTTCCGGGATAAAAATATCCAGGCCGACTGCCCCTCCCGTTGAAAAAAAGGTGGCGGACGGCCGACGATGTGTACAGGCAGATTTTTCTGTTAGACCTGCCGATGGCCGATGATGGCGAGCCCGTCGAGACGTGTTTGAATGGCTGTGGTCGTTGCTGAGACTCGTATTGTTATCCGACGAAACGGCGTATCTGACTGGCCTTCGTGTGGAGACACGCGGTTACGACGTTGACCGTAGTAGCAGACAAGCAAGACAGACATCCGTGGCAGTCGCGACGAAGCTGGGCGGAGCTTTCAAGAGAATCTAGAATGCGTTGTAGCTACCCTTGCCAAGTTACCGGAAAACTTTAT